ATAGATTTTTTTGAGCTAGACTTCGTTGTTAATAGGAACAAGCGAAGGCACACACGACATGACGCCAAACACACGATTGCACGCACCGCACCGCACCTCGCACCCGCGCCCGCCGCCCCCCCGACCCCCGCCCCGCCTAGGCGGGAAAGAGATGAGGAGATGGGACAGCGAAGGAGGAGCACAAGCACGTATGGGAGGGTTCAATGATGCGCCACGCTGCCCGGCGTTTCTCACTTTCCGGGACAGCCCCGCCCTTGTGAGGCAGGAAAGTGACGGCTACCCCGTACGCCCTGTTGCTTCTACCCCGACGCCGACCGCCCATCCCCCCTCCTCGTTCCCCCCTCGGCGAGCCGATGATCGTCGAGCCTCTGTCCTGCGCGCCCCCGAGCCCCCCCCCCCCCCCACCACCACCACCACCACCACACACACACAACACACACCGCCGCCGCGCGAGCGCCGCGCGGCGGCACACCCAGCTCAAAAGAAAAAGAAAAAAGGGAATGAGGAGACCAGCGAGGGAGACTCCCCGCCTATGCAAGCCCCAGAGAGGGGCCGCCATCGCCGAAGCTGTGCCAAAGCATAACTCCAAAACCCGCAGCGGCCCAGGGGGCCTTGGGGGCAGCCTGCCGGACCGCCGCTGCACGGGGCTAGGCACCAGAAGATGAGTGGAATTGATGAATTGGGCCGTTGTCCGTGCCTCCCCTCTATACGTCAGAGTGGGACCTACGCCGCGCCGGGAAAGGGGCGCGCCCGGTCCTCGACGGAGCCGCGCGCCCCAAACGACCCAGGCGGCGAGTAGTCGACCTCGAACCTTCGACATGTAGTTGCCCGTAGTTAGCGCCCGCCCGCCCCCCCCTCTGTCGCTTCGCAAACGAAAAAACAAAATAAAACCAAGCAAAAGAGAAAGCGAGGCCAAAAAAACGATTGCGTAAACGGCGTCACAAAGCCCGCCGGTTTTGATCGACAATCGTGAGATTGACCGCCGTCGACCAGAGAATGGCAGACGATGCGTCAGCTTGTGCGGCGCTCGCGCCGCGCAGGCTGGCCCATCGAGGGCACTCTCTGGCGCTGTCCGGGCCAAGCGCGGCGCCGCGCATGCTGCGGGCCACTCGCCGTGGCTTGCGGTGCAGCGCCACTGCAGCCTCGAAAACGTCGCGCACAGCACCAGCATGCTGCCCACCAGGCAGCAGAGTGCTGCACCGGCGTGCAGCGGACGCTGCGGCGCTGCGTCGTCGCCTCCCCGCCCTGTCCACGGAGCAGACGAGCGGCGGCACGGCCTTCCACCAGCTGCAGGAGGTGCGCACTTCTCAAAGGAAGCACAGGATGCTCCCGCAGTTTACGCAGCTTTGTGCAGCGCAGCGCACGGGCCACGCCACACAAAGCCGACCCTCAGTCTGGCCAAGAGGCTGTCTGCGGAAGGCCTGGCAGCGCGTACTCGCCTCCTCCGCGGCCATGCCCTCCGCCCGGGCGAGCGAGGAGCGGGGTCCGGGGACACAACCATTTCTGGAATCCTGTGTCCCCGAAGGAAGATTTCTTTTTTTCGGACGAGTGCGTGTAAGTGTGTTGTGCTTCTCAGGCGGACCACAAAGGCAGGCATGTTCACAGCGAGCGATGGGGGCGCCGGTGGAAGGCGTCGAAACCATGGCTCTGCGAAGCCGAAGGCCGAAGGCGAAGCTCGAGAGTGGAGAGATTTTTAGCAATACCAAACAAATCTAACACTCACACGTCATTTGGGGCCTGGAGCCCCTGCAGACTGATCTTTATGGTGGTTTAAAGGCCTATTTCGGCTCTTGGGCGGCCGCCCTCAAACCCTATAGGGTTTGCGTTCGTCCGCGCGCGGCCCCAATGCCGGGCGCCCTGTTCACGCGCGCGCGAGACGTGCAGACAGGGTTGCCAGGTGAGAGCGAATGGCGCGGTTCACGCCTCGCACAACAGAGAGAGAGATGCGCTCTGCATGGTGGGACATAAAAGAGAGCGAGTACTTGGGCGAGTAGGCCGTGCGGTCGACGCTGCCGCGCGCGACTTTGCGCGCGAGGCGGCGCAGCTTGAGAACGGCGGTGGGCGAGAAGCCGCCGCCGAACGTCTCGTGGAGCAGCAGGTTGAAGTTGTTGCGCTTGACAAAGATCGCGTCGTGGTAGAAACCGCGATGCGCCTTGACGTAGCCGTGGCCGGTCTTGTGGGAGAAGGGTTGGCCGGGCTGCCCGCGCGCCTTGCAGCCCATGTTTAGGCGGCGGGCCTTCTCTTCGGTGTTACCAAAGGCGTAGGAGTGGCCAACGGAGGCGGGCGTGCCGCCACTCGAGGCGTTGCCAACGCCCGGCGAGGAGGTCTTGAGGAGGGGCGTCCAGAGCTTGATTTCATTCACGTCATCGCACCCTCCTGGTCCCGCATGGGGTTCTGCGAGGTCAGTCTTGTACCCCTCGTTGTACTGCGGCTGGTTGCAGGGTCAGGGCGGGGTGGCCATGTCCCTAGTGCCTTTTTGAGCCTGCCGCGGCGAGCGGCCGGGGGGGCGGGGGCAGAGCCCCCGCGAAGCGATTTTTGACGAATTTGAGCCATTTTCGGTCATTTTCAAGAGGATTTTGACACTTTGAGGAGAGCGGAAGTCAGTAACATCGCACGCAGTTCGCGCCCTGGTACACAGTTCAACAACATTTAACCCGTACACATCAAGTACTGTACTAATGCGCAACATATATCAAGACACGCGCTCACCAGCAGCGCGCTCGGATAGCATCGTCTATCGCGGGCTCCATCGCGTACTCTTTGGGTGGCGGCGGCGGCGGTGGCAACGCCCCTGGTAGCGCCGTCACCTTAGCCTTTGGTGCCCTCTTTGAGCGGCGCAATTCTGATTGCAGCGGTGGGAGCTCACCCGTCGGGGTCATCGTAAAGTTGACGCCACGCAGCTCCGTCGCGTTGATGTCTCTTGCAGCCCGAGGCGCTCGACGAGCTTCGCGATCATGTACGCCGCGTCGTCGTCGGAGCCCTTGGCCCAGCCCTGCACAGCTCCGACGAGGCCGTGCCGCCAGTGGTCGAGGTAGCCTTTCGGATTGCCGTCCGCGTCCTTGCCCCTCGGCAGCTTCTGTTTCGGCCGAGCCGGCATGCCGGAGAGCCGCACCCGCCGCAGTTTCCACCATATGCCTTCCTCGTGCCGCCACTGCTCTACCGTCCCGTACTTGGCGTACGGCCGCGTACGCCACTCGGGCTCCTTGGGCGCCGGCGTCGGCTGCGCCTCGACCTTCTGCTGCTTGCGGTGGCGCGCGAGCGCCTGCTTGGCCTCCTCGTGCGCGAGCCGCGCCGCCTCCCGCGCCGCCAACGGCTCGCGCACCGCCTCGGCATACGCGAGCGAGGCCTGCTCCTCGGCTCGCGTGGCGGCTTGCTCGGCGCTCACGGCGCGCACCTCGGCGGCGCGCAGCGCTGCCTGCAGCTGCTGCGTCGCGCCGAGCATCGTGAAGGCATTCTTCGGCAGCTCTGTGGATGACGAGGCTTCGGCAGCGCGCCGCTCCTTCATTCGCTGCTCGGCGGCGTCGACGACGGCATCACCGATCTCGACGCGCACGCGCCGCTTGGCCTCGAGGGCGCAAGCGAGCTTGTTTGGCCGGTCGCCGCTACACGGAATGCGCCTCCTGGCCTTGCTGCCGCCGGACTGAGCCACGTAGTACGTGACGGTCATGTTGTTCAAAATGGGGCCGTCATATTTGCTGTCGATGGCGTTCGAGACGCCCTCTACATCGTTGAGAAGGGCAAGCTGCTCCACAAGGGTCGTCTCGTTCGGCTCCATAGTGACCCCGCGTGGATCGCGAAACGATGCAAGATGTGGAACGGCAAAAATCAAAAATCAAAAATCGAGTAGACTTCGAAAGCGACGTGTAGACTTCGACGGACTTTTAAAAGAGCTTTCCAACGGTGTGCGACTCGTCGAACGAATCCAACTGGGAGGCACTAGGGACATGGGTCACGAGAGCCACCCCGCCCTGACCCTGCAACCAGCCCTGCCGGGTGAGCTCTGGTTTCTCCTTGTCGCCGTGCACGACCGGCGCGTTGGCCGGGGCGCGCATCGCGTCCGCTCAGGCGGCGAGGACGCCGTCGTGGGGCCGCCGGTGGTGGGGCTTGTTGTAAAGGTAGTCGCCGAAGAAATCGACTGGCATGCCCCGCTCGAGCGCGACCCGA